GCCTGCTATGTGGGGCGTTTAGGGAACATCGGTAAATTGCAGAGTTTATCGATAAGAAAATGTTCAGCCAGTCATATGTTTTGCCCGTGACAAGGTGGGAAATGCGAACAAATGAGAAAGTTGGTTGCACAGGTTTTTTTTTAAAAAAAAAGAGAGAGAGAGAGTTAGTCTGGAGTCCTGTGTGGACTTCCGTGTGGCACAAGCGTTGTTCGGTAAACGGCTATGTATGCAGTGACGTATGGCGTAGCTCTGACTTGGCTCCTGGCCAATGGAAAAGCAACCAGTTCTTTGGAGGTGCCTGATTTGAACCAAGCAAGCACTGGCCCTAGTACAAGCACTTGGCTCTTCTTGATGGAAAAGGGGTAGAGTCAGAGGAGGATCGTTTTGGAGAATAGGGCAGCAACTTACCAGAGAAAAGGTAGACATATTAGCTAAAGGTAACTCAGAATAGATTTTCCAAGTTAAATTAAGATGACACTAGCCAGGTATCATTTGCCTTTTACCGACTCATAAATGATGATGGTCAGGTAAATAATAGTCTAATAATATATCATCAGACACAAACTCGAAACAGTTTTGAATAATTAGGGTGTAGGAAAATGAGAGAAACAATGTCATTATTGTTTCTATTTGGAGGTGAAGACTGACTAGAGAAACAGGCTTCAGGGGATCAGCTTGCATCATGTGAAATTTTTCTTTGTTTTTTTTTTAATTTTTACATTCAGCCTTTAAAAAGCCATTTTTAACTGGCCATTCAATAAATAGGTTGTAAACGTAAAATCTGCAGTCAAATGTCATTTGTTTATGCCGCCACGGCTCCCTGGAGAGCCTGCCCCCGCTGCTGAAAAAAGTCCTAAAGGAAACACTGTTCTAGCACGTATGCAATAGTAAGTTCTAAAATGTAATGTTGCAGTGCTTCTAGTACTACCTTTTAACTATCGTCAGGCACTTATATATCTGGAAAAAACAACAGGAGCAAATGTGAAGTAGTGTGATAGTATCTGCTGCAGTATTACTTTGGATTTACCTTTAATATAACCAAAGAAGAGAGTCAAAAAGTTTTCAAAAGTTTTCTTTAATCTTAACTATTTTATGTCGTCAATTTGGAAATGCACTTTTGAGATCCTTGTCTGTGTGTGTTGCCTTGCTGACCAATGCATTGAGGAACTGTGAAGTCATCCTGTGGTTTCCTGTAACTGTCAGTCACGAGCTTCATGTAATTATTCCTTCACACTCCGCTGGACAGCTCAAAGCAATCTGTGCTGCACAATACTGTACTCGCTCCTACCTCTTGAAGTGTGGTCTCTGCTCGTGCTCTAAGCCTGATATGTCTGATAAGGCCACAAAGACTTGTACCACTTTCACAAGTGAATAGCCAGCCACCAAAGACAGCTTTTCATGAAAGGTTGTGAGCTAACACAGCACAGCTATTCAAGACAGAGACACTCAAGAGTCACTACAATTGAAAGTAGACCAGAAGAGGATTGGTTTGAACCCTCATCCCTTCCAAATGTTAAAATGCTGCTAAAGGTCACAGAAGGGCAGAGGATCTTTGTAGATTTCCTTAGAGGGAAGGGGGAAAAGGAGACAGAGAAGAAGAAAAGGGGAAAAAGAAGAAAAGCTGAAAAGGTCGGCAGAAACGGGATAAAAGATTTATGAGTAGACAAAGAAGACTTTGACTTTTAGCCTTTTTTTTATTAAAACATGTCAACTCAAAAAAAAAAAGCTACGCAGCATACACAAAATGTCTTCTGACTTTGCCAACATGGCATTTATTGGAACAGAATAAAAATATAGGGAGCGAAGTGGGAACAATATGGTGAGAAAACACGTAAACAAGAGGTAAACAAAGTAGACAACATGGAAAATAAGATGACAAGATGTAAAAGATAAAAGATGGAGGACGGTGAGACTCAAAGAGAGAGAGCGAGAGAAACTGGGGCATGAGCAGAGGAAACGGCACACCGGTGTTCTTTAAAGTTGAGCCATCACAACCACTAAATCCCTGATGCTGCCTGCCAGGACTCATCCTGCCCTGTCCTGCCTCATTCCCTGGTGCCATCTTACCTTTCAGCTTCACTCCTCCATATCCATCCCTCTCTCAATCTCTCTGGTCCCGCTACTCTCTTCTAGGATACTTTTTAGACCCCTCTGATTTTCTTTCCTCCACTCTACAATGTGTGGCATCGAAGGAAGGATGCCTTCATATTTTAATACCCTAACCCAGTGCCTCTGACTCATCCTCTCGAGACTACAGTTATGACTGGTGGATTTTTGCTTGTCTACACTTTCCTGGCCCTTATCCCTCCATTCTCTTGCTCTAGTCTTTTAGTCTCCCAGTAGCCAGGTTCTGTCTGTCTGCCTCGGTTTCTGTGGTTCATATTTTTGTGGGTCATTGTGTTCTTCTGTTTAAGTCTCTGTCGAGCAATGTTCACGCATGCACAGGAAAACATTCTGCATTTCTTTACTCAGCGTGGCCTCTTTTCATTGTTCCTTGCACCAGTTTGAACAAGAAAATACAAAGCGACAATAAGAATGCCATTCGCAGACTGAAAGTCAGTTTCACTTCAGTGTGAAATACATGAAGAACTTGTGAGGACACAATGTTTCCATCCCTTATCATTTCTCATCTTGCTCTAAGTACTTTTCAACAGACATTTGACTTTGAATGCTTATTCCTCTGTGGCTGACAGAATTCACCATACTGTGTAAGTGTGAGTGTAACATCTGGACTGTTTTAACTAATTGAAAACCTGTTTCTTTATTTGTGTGTTGGTTTAAAATAGGAAAATATATTGCGAATCCCCTTTGCATAAGTATGCAGCTTTGGGGGAGTTTTTCCTAATGATAACTGCCTGATTATATGCTAGCACATTACGGATTAAACAAAGGTTTTGAATAGATTAGGACACATCGTGACTTGAAACTGATGCTTAGCCAGGATGACAAAGCAACATCCCCTTTTGCACTCCAAAAGCACTGCACTGCATGTGCCAGGCATCCTGTAAATCATAAGATGACAAAATGTGTGGTGAAATTGTTGCTACATCTTTTCATGATATGTTCCACAGTATATGTTGTCATGAAAACCACAAAAAGGAAGACCAAATAATTGCATTCAAAATCTGAGGAAAGAAAATTCAGGTAAAGTACAATGAATGCCTATTTACTAAACTGTTGAAAATGGCCCATGTGGTGCTATTATTCTTTGACTTATTTTACTTTGGCTAGTTTTACGCACCAAATACTCAGTGTAGATTCTAACTCATCAAGGTCAAGGTAATTGTAAGTACCTGCGTAGAAGGCAAATGGACCCTCCTTTTTCATTCTTGAAGACGTTTCTCCACTCATCCAACATGCTTCTTTAGTTTGAGCTGACTGGTAGCGAGTCCCAGATATTTATTTTCAAATCACATGGTTCATGTCTCGTTCATAAGCCAAGATTCACATGCCTCGAGGTGTTAATGGGGGTATCTGAGAAGGGATGTCTGGACTGCATAAGTACCTGATAAGTGGTGCTGTAGACCCCCTCCTATGTTTGGAGATGCCTGTTTCAGTTTAACCCGGTTGGCTTGCCTAATGCCTCACTCAAACATTCTATCTTTTCTGTGCAAAATGTGAACATTTCTGTCCTCAAAGGAGTGTTGCTTCTCCTTTAGATGCAGGTAAATGTGGGTAAAAGTAAACACTGGTAAAAGTTGGCTCCAAGAAAACTACTTGGTAAGGTTTACAATAATGTCACACTTTGGGTTGAATTCTGACCCTTTTGTAACATGCTTGAAGCTTCTCTATTTTCTTGGTTACCGGGGTGACAAACTCCATCAATAAATGATTGATAATTTTTCTCTCAAACTAAGAATGTAATTTAGTTTTAGCTTTTTTTTTTAAAAGACAGGGCTCAAATTCTTAAATCTTCATGTGTGTCCCATATTGTATATTTACCTTCAGGGAATCAGTCCCATTGCAACATCAAATGAACCCAGCCTTGAAAGCATAAAATTGTTTAGGATTTAAGTATGGATTCATAACGAATTCCAAAATGGTAAAAAATTGTTTTTAAACCTGGAAGTTTAATCATCAGACAGTTACGGAGTTTGGTCAGTTAGCGCAGTATAAAAGCAGCACATTGTGGAGTTTAATGTGAAGAAACCATGACTTGCTGCATATAAGTGATTGGAGCTGTCACCTGAAAGTAAAAACAGAATTTTTCCAGAATTTCAGTTTTCTGTGGACAAACGCTGTGTTTTTCAGTGCTCATTTACTGTTTCACTGTACTGTACTAAATTGTGTTATATATTGCTAAAAAAGTAACACTCCTCCAACATACACAGCTGACGCAATACAGCCTGTCAATAGTGCGTCTGTGTTTTACAATATGTGCGGCTGCAAAACAAATTTTCTGAATAAAAACAATGAAGCTGCAGCATCACTCCACCAGGGAACAATAACACGCTTCAGCTTCTGAAGGTAATTGCCGCTATTCATTCATTCGCTTGACCTTCAACATGTCGAAATGGGTAAAAGGCACATGCTCTTTGCCGTCATACGCTCAAAAAATGTGTGTAATTTCTTGATAACAATTTTAAATTAGTCACACATTGCATGTCCAGGGCTTCAATTTTCTTCACTTTCATAACTGAAGAAGCATTCAAATATACCTCACACGCAATGCGTCTAAACACATCCCAGAAATCCAATAAAAGAACATGGCAATAATGTGTATCAGTCTAACAAATATCTGTGTTTTTATCCAGTTGCATTTGAATTTATGTATTAGTTTGGATTAATACGTAAAATCAAAAGCAGCACCTTTGACCTCAAATAATACAAAGAATGCAAATACAAAATATAAAAAAGCAACTCTCAAACTCTCCTCTGAATCAACAGGGAAGTGAAAAACTACGCAGTCGACTTAAAAACACAACAATCTAGCAAAGTTTCTTTATGGCATTGTATTCATTTATCTTGGGTGCTTTTAAATGTGTGTTTTAAATGCTTACTGAAAGCGGCCACAGCCAGTATAAGCGTGACAACGATGGAGGACCAGGAGACCCAGAGTGCCTTCTTCCTGTAGTTCTGAGCCTCGTGGGGCTTCAGGCGCATGCTGCTCTCCAGGAGACCTGCAGTGAGACACATCAAATCTGTGACTAAAACAATTCCGTCTTTCTTCTTGTCTGTGTTTCGTAAAATTCATGTGGTGTAATGTTTTGTTGTGTGATCACACCAGACTGCCAGAGTGGACAAAAGAGCTATTAATACACTTAAAAGGAATTTGACGCTCCTCAGCCTTGAATAATCAGTTTGGTTCACTGAAAAAGTTTTAAGGTGAAAGGCACGAGCTTGTGTATTCATCTTTGAGTCCCACAAATCACTGCTTAAGGAAGCACTGAGTTTAAAATTAGGTTGTTTCAATTAAGCATGTTGTATGAAGAATTATATTCTGAATTAATTATCTATTTCACATAACTGGAGGTGCTTTGTCCTTTCAAGCCAATGTGGCTCATGATTACTGTGATATAATATCATTTAAAATAATGTACAACACATAAATCGACCACAAAAAAGAAAAAGAAAAACCCATTCCATTAAGGATCCAACACTACCCTGGAATTGTCTCTTTTTGCATGAAGGTTGTTGTTGTTACATATATTCTCAGATGGGGGATTTCCGGTGGGAAAACATCTGGAACCAGTGATGTTCCCTATATTTTCCAGTCTATATAATTCTGTACAGCAATTTTCTCAAATTTCTTCAATCAAAAGGAAGGTCAAGCTTGATATAAACAACTATGAACAACTAGCACACAAACACTTTTTTTTATTGTACCAGTTATGATGACTTCACTTTTAGTAGCCCAGTAGACTTATTAATATGAATCATTACTGTTCTAAATACTACATAACATCTGCCACCCTGCATGCATTCTCTCTGTTAGATAATCCTTATCACCTTCCGAGAGAACACCAAGAGCATCACAGTGGTTTTATACAGAGGGACACAAAACTTGTGTTGTACTTGGAAACCCTTGTTATACAGAATAGTATAGGTCATGGGTGAAGCATAGCACTGGGAGACCTTCTCAAGTTTAATTTTCTTTACTGGCCTTACAGACTTCAACGGAACTCCAACAGCAGCCACAGTACACCATTATACATCAGAAATAGTCATTTCAAAGTAATGTATCAACAACACAACATAGTAGTCCCTCAAAGCAATACAGAATAATTGCACAATAATCTAAATTAATTTTCTTTTAAGATAAAAAGCAATTGTAAATAAAATTGCAACCTCCACGGCTAAAAAAATTTAAGCCACTGCAGAAGTCACAAAAGCTGCAGTTCCTTGAACGGCCACTTGAGGCTGCCTCTAAAAGGAAGTCAGTCCCCAAAGACCCCCTTGGTAAAATGCCCAACAATAGAGTAGAAATAAACATGTTTGCAGCCTGGTACGAAAAACACTTTTGGTCACGATTGCTAATTTCCCAGTTCATGAAACCCATACAAGGGATCAGTTTTCATACAACTGTATTAAGACTTACTTAAGACACACAGTGTGTCCCAGTAGTGCTGCCATAGCAAGCACGCTGCAGTCACTCACTGGCATGAATGAAGCAATGGATGTGTCATTTTTGTTTCTTGTCTATGGGGGCATTATTGTAGCAAAATTATTTGTCCATGCATGTGGAGAGTTGTCTGTCTGTATCTCAATCCATTCATTCAAAGTGAGATTTGTCAGTGTGTAAAAGAAGTTGTCAATGCGAACTGGAATCTGCAAAAGTCATCTCACAATTTGTCTGTCTGTAATCAGGTTTTCAAACGTGTAAAAAATCTGCTCATCTGTATTAACTTTCGGACATGTAATAAGAGTTGTCAATGCATACAGAGAGTTGTCAATGCACACAGAGGTATTCGTAGTTGAAAAGTCTACGTATTCGAGTCGAGTGACTTCCCCACTGGCTGTCTTTTTTGCACATGACTTTTGCTACACTTCTACCGTGACAGATCTGAAACTGAAAAGTATCTGAAAATCAGGGATTCGGTGTCCTGAGCTCAGGCTCACAGGATTACCACCTCTTGGGATGTTCTGTTCTCCCCCCATGGTGAGGACATTGAGGGGCTGACCCACTGCCTGACTGACTACCTGAACTTCTGTGTGGATGTCGTCTCTCCTGCTAAGACTGTTCGTTGTTACCCGAACAACAAACCCTGGGTGACGTAGGAGGTCAAAGCTGCACTCAACAGGAAGAAGGTGGCCTTCAAGAACAAAGACAGGGAGGCAATCAGATCAGCACAGAGGGAGGTGAAGCTGTGCCTGAAGGAGGCCAAAGACACCTACAGGAGGAAGGTGGAGCAGCAGCTGAGGGACAACAACATGAGGGAGGTCTGGCAGGGTGTGAATACCATCACAGGCTTCAAAACAAAAGCCAGAACAGCAGGGGGACGGTGGAAGAGGCAAACAATCTGAATGTCTTCATTAATCGGTTTGACCAGCCCATGACCCCCCCAGCCCCCACCCCCACCCTCACCCTCACTGCGGTTCCCCCTGTCCTCAGTGTGCCTCACTCTCAACATCAGCCCTACTGGGCAAACGTTGGGGTGGAGGATGCTGTGCTGTACCTCCTCCATCGAGTCCACTCACACCTGGACAAGGGAAGTGGCACTGTGAGGATTCTTTTTATGGACTTCTCAAGTGCCTTTAATACCATCCAGTCCCTGCTACTGCGGGGAAAGTTAGAAAGGATGGGAGTGGACTCGTGCCTGGTGGACTGGATCTCCGACTACCTCACTGACAGACCAAAGTATGTCAGACTGAAAGTACAGCAGTACTTCAGCAGCACAGGGGCCCCTCAGGGGACAGTGCTCCTTCTCTTCATAAAGCACTTGTCTCATGACTGTTAAGTATTTACACTCCACTGCAAGCTTGGCAATACATTTATTTCATCCATTTATACTTCTTTCCAGTTCAAAATAGTTACATAATGTAGTTTTTTAATGTGCAATAAAGGTATTAATGAAGCTCTTGTCCTGGATGTGTTGATGTCTCAATGCTGCATATCTGCTAGAAAAGACTGCAACATGTTCTCCGTGTTGTAATTATGTAACAACAGCAGAGATGAAGTTAAAGGCAATAAATGGATCCTGTGAATACTAAGAAAAGAGAATAAAAACTGCTGAAACAGCTGCTCTGTCCTTCTGTAAGTGAAAGCTAATCTGGATCACTAAGGATGATGTCCATTCAGTCTCCTTTACAACCAGATGAACGGCTCCAGATGAGGTTTTCCTTCTGCTGACTTCACTCAGAAGATCTTCAGTGGACATGAGATATACCTGAGGTGAAGAGAGACATCACAGTATTAGCATCAACAGCAGAGGTTCACTTGAATTAACCCTTCCTATTTCATGTATTGTTTTCCAAGCACCTAAAGAAAGAAAGGCCTGCAGTTGCTTCATACTTAGGGGAGAAGATTTTTTTTTTCAGCCTCTCTGTGCTACATTTTAAATGTTTTATTTAACTGTAGTGTCAGCCACTAATTTGGCATTATTCTGGGTGTTTGTTCTTCCAATCGACACTGCAGTAAGAAGAAGTAAAACATGTGCATCAGTCATTAAACAACCGACTCTACAACAGCACATTAAAGACCAGAGTGTAGATGAACAGTTTTATCCAGTTTAACTTTAGACAGCAGATATTCAGGACTACTGATAGAACCTGAACGTACTGTTTTAATCACATTTAAGTTTCCTAAACATTGCGCTAACGTGAACCAGAGTCTCTGGACAGTTTTATTCACTCAATGTACCACATTACAGTAACATAACACACTTCAGCCTGACTACATGAAACACAACACAGACATCGTTAGTTTCATGCTGCTACGTTTCACTTTAACCAGGCTACGACTCTCAGCTAGCTCAGTTAGCATTGTTACATTAAATCTAAATGTAGTGGACGCTAACTCTTTTCTCTGGCCAATATACAGAAAAAAACTGCACCAACTTCTGGAGTTTACTGCACACATTATATCTGAGGCTAAGTGCATTAAAACTGGAAATAAAAAAAATGTAAAAAAAAAACATTTACTTACCGAACGCATCCTTTCAGTGTCTGTGGTTCAAACAGCCAAAGGTCCGAATTATGGTGAACTGAAAACTGGTTAAAACCAGCCAGCGGACAGTAAAACTTTGTGGAAAATGTGCTGCTACTCCACAGGTAAATAACGACAAACTAACACTTAATTATATCAGAAGTAAATCCAAACGAGGAGGAGACCTGAGTTTACGGTGAATGAGACTCCAGTCTGCCTCCCCACGACCTGTCAATCATTCCAGAGGAGACTGTCAATCAAATAGCCACGCCCCCAATATGACCGAAACTTTGACAATTTATATAAATTTCAATACTTAATTATTTATAGATTGGCCACCTGATCTCTGGGTTTGACCATGAAACCTAACGGGAAAAAAAAATCCTGAGCTGTAGGAAAGCTGTATTTCGTGATCTGTGATCTCCCCGTGTACTATTGGGGTCTATGGGAGCCAGAAGTTTTCGGAGCCAGCAACTAGCGGACGTAGTAGTCCTGCAGGTTTTTGACACTTCCAGGTTGGCTTCATTTTTCAGGGCCGGTTGCTACGTCCATCTGTCTTACACAGTCTATGCTTTGTACGCATTGACAACTCTTATTACATGTCCAAATTTTATTGCAGATGAGCAGATTTTTTACACGTTTGAAAACCTGATTACAGACAGACAAATTGTGAGATGACTTTTGCAGACTCCGGTTCGCATTGACAACTTTTTTTACGCATTGACAAATCTCACTTTGGCCAAATGGATTGAGATACAGACAGACAACTCTCCATATGCATGGACAAATAGTTTTGCTACAATAATACCCCCATAATTGTCAGGCTTGTTCAAGTGTTTGCATGTAAGTGTATGACATTTTGATTTATTAACAGTTAGGAATATGATTCTTAGCTGTGTTATTATGTCATGCTATTTCTGTGAATCTGCGTATGCTAATCGTTAGCATGTCTATGTGTTTTTCTATATAAGTTTGCATCGAGCTAGCGCATTTGGGTTTATATATTTTATTTCATATAAAGTCACGTAGATTTTA